TCTGGAGTTGGGAGCGTGATCGAAAGTGAATTCGGAGGTCCGTAGGTCATTTTGAAGTCATTTGGCTAGAGATAGAAATTTGAAGGTTTTGAGAAGTTTGACCGAGAGTTTGACTTTTTGATATCGGGGCCGGATTCCAATTCCAAAAGTTGGATCAGGTCCGTAATGTCGAATATGACTTGTGTGCAAAATTTGAGGTCAATCGGACGTGATTTGACGAATTTCGGCATCGAATGTAGAAGTTTGAAATTTCAAAGTTCATAAAGTTTGGATTGAAGTACGATTCATGATTTTGACGTTGTTTGATGTGATTCAAAGCCACGGCTAAGTTCGTATTGTATTTTGGTACATGTTGGTATAATTGGTTGAAGCCCCGAGGATCTCGGGTGGATTTCGGAAGGCTAACGGATCGATTTTGGAACTTTAAAGCTGCTGAAAATCTGCTGCAACTGCTGTTTTGGACAGCAATGGTGCAATCGAGGAGGCTACTTTGGAAGCTTATATCTCAAAATCTATAAGGAATCTGAAAATTTGTAAAACATAAAAGTTGTTTCCCTTGCATTCTAGTTTCCATAAAGTTAAACCCTTCATAATTTGGACATGTTATCAGAAAGATATGATCGATTGGAAATGGCTGGTGGAGCAGTTTCGAAACAATTTTCCGATGCATGGAGCCTACTTTAGAAGCTCATATCTCGGAATATATAAAGACTTATATGGTGTACAACCTATAAAATGAAAGATCTTTGAATCTAGTTTCTAAATCTTCAAACCGTTTGTCATTTGGATATTTCCACAAGGAGTTATGGGCGTTTTAATAAAAGGTGTACAGCAGGGGAGAATGGTAATAGGATGTACAACTTGCACAGCGTAAGGTACAACTCGATGAAGCATGGGCAGATTGTTTTAAACACGAGTTTTAGCCCATTTCTTTTATTTGGCTTGGACTATTTTGGAGAGATCAAGGAGGGATTTTCACCAAGCAACACTAGGTAAGTGATTTCTTCCTATTTTTGAGTTAAATATGTGATCTTACATGGATTTAGACATGGAAAATTAGTATAAATTTGGGATTTTTGGGAAAGGCCTAGAATTTGAAATTTTTGACTTTTACCTTGAATTTGAGCATGAAAATTTGAGCAAATTGTAAATTTGACTTAGTAAAGCTTTGGGTAGAATTTATCTTCGAGAAATTTCGGAATCCGGGCACGTGGGCTCGAGGGCATTTTGGTCAACTTTTCGAGCGGAGTTGGGAACTTATATAATTTGAATTGTTACAAGTATTAGAGTGAATTTTTATTGGTTTGCCCGTTATTTGAATAGTTTTGGGGCGTTATGCATCAATTGGAGTCGTTGGAAGGGCTTGGAAGCCTGTTATGAAAATTTCGGAGCGAGGTGAGTCTCCTTTCTAACCTTGTAAAAGGGAATTGTCCCCATAGGTGAGTTAATTGGTTATGTGGTCCTATTTGTGGGTCTACGTACGCACGAGGTGACGAGAGTCCGTGCGTAGCTACTATTATGCTATTGTCCGGGTAGTCTAGGACCCAAAAGCAAGCTATACTTGGAATATTTACCATCTTCTTGACAACTTGTATTGCTTAAATCACATCGAATTAGTAAATGAATTCCTAAAAAGATTTAAACTTCATTTTCTTAAATTGTTAAAAGAGAATTAGCTTTTCTTTGAATACTCGTTCCATGTTGACTTCTTGATTGACTGTCTCTATGTGTTTATTTTTGGAGCGGGCCGAACGCCTCGGCAGATTATATAGATGCATCTATGGTTCGTGCCGTTCGACCCTCGGCAGTGCACAATTTAATTTCTGTTGGAGCGGCCGTGCGCCTCGGCATGAGTTGCGCATGCTTGTATTGCTACCTCGAATTTTATTAAAGTTGTTATTGCCTCTTCATGGCTTTAGAATATTTGGATAATAATGAAAAGGAGTTTTGGAAATTTCCTATAAAAAGAAATAATTGTTTACTTGTTTTCTTCTATTGGATCAAAATCATGTTTATAGAAATCCACGATTTATTGTATTATTGACATCATTATTGGACCACTAGTAAGTGTCGAAGTCGACCATCTCGTCTCTACTTCTTCGAGATTAGACGGGATACTCATTGAGTACACGTTGTTTTCGTACTCATACTACACTTCTATGCATTTTTGTTGCACAGGTATATGTAGCTCTAGTGGCCTACTGGGCGTAGCAGCACGGATGATTCGGGGACTAGGTGAGTTGCATTATTCGAGGCGGCCCGCAGCTAGTATAGTCCCTTCCAGTAAATTGTATTTATTTTCAGTCCGTTGTATTTCGGACGGATGTTGTATCTTATTCCTTCTTAGTAAATACTCATGCACTCGTGACACCGGGTTCTGGGATGGTCTGAATATTTTGTATTAATTGCTTATTATTTAATTTGAATTGAAGCAGTTATCTTTTTATTTATGAAAAATTGAAGGAAAAACTTAGTTTTCAAGATTGTTAAAAATGAGAACTTCATCAAGTAATTTGGTTGGCTTGCCTGACAGTAGTGTCCGGCGCCATCGCGATCCTTAGTGGATTTTGGGTCGTGACAACATGGTATCAGAGCACTAGGTTCCCTTAGGTCTCACGAGTCATGAGCAAGTCTAGTAGAGTCTCGCGGATCGGTACAGAGATGTCTGTACTTATCTTCGGAGGCTACAGGGCTGTTAGGAGTACTTCCTTTCTTGATTCCTTATCGTGCGATTTGATTCCTGTGAGGCTTATGCCTTTGTTTCTTTCCTACTCAGTCTTATGCGAGCGAAACGCTTGTTGTAAATCGAGAATTGAAGAATTGTAATGGCACTATGAATGTGGTGCGGGAGTTTCTCCCAGCGGGGTTATTGAGCTATTATCGTCGCCTTGTGGAAGGATATTCTGTTGTTTCGGCTCACTAGCGGTACTTCTGAGAGCTCTTAGGTTAGGCACAAGTTGCCATGATGCTTATGAACAATTGATCCGCGGTATTGTTATGATGGTAGGATGTTTGCCTACGTGTCGGGGCGGTGAATGACTTGAAGGGAGGTTGACTCAGTGCATAATCTAGAGATTCAGTATTTTATTCACGGCAAGGAAAAGACAATCGGACTAAGAATGGTCAGATGTAGGCTGGTGGAGTAATGAGACTTGGTATTTGCGAGCGTGGTGGAGCTTTCTTCTATGATGGGGTGTCGTTGTCCTAATTGAACGTACTAAGTTCGTCGGTGTTATGACCTTCTACAATTCGCCTTTGGGGCAAGCTATTGTGAAATAGTATTGAAAATGTGGCTGTCAGATATCGCAGGGTGCGGTAGTTCAGGGTCGAATCAGTGTTTCTAATGTCGATGGTATGAGAAGGATGATTTTCCGAAAGGTGTAAAGTTAGCAGCAATTGTGGGTTCAAGTGCCACGAAAATAGATTTTATTTAAGGCAGCAGCTGAGCAGCAAAGGATGAGGAAAGACATGTGGGAGGTATCAGGCGGTGGCTAAATTTCTAAAAGGCCGAGTATAAGAGGCCAAGGGTCGAGTAGTCGATTAAGGGGATGAGNACAATGCGGTACGTTACAAATATAATCCGGTTTACAAGTCCGGAGTCGAATCCCACAGAGACCTAAGGTTTAGCTACAGCTGTTCATTATCACCAAGAAGACAAGCTTGAACAATTCCTAACTTATAGATATTAAGATTCTTGTGTTTAACTAATTAACTAACAAATTAAAATAATAAATTAACAACTAACAATACTGAGGGTTAGAGAAAAGATTAAGGAGGTCTAGAGTTATGATTTCCCCAATTTTCGGAATCCTTCCCGCTATGTCTTCTATAATTTCGCCTAAGTATTCTCTACCGACCATGAGCGCTCTTATTACCGTAAATCTCTCCCGAGTAATTACAAAAATTTACTAGATGCACTCTCCCGAGCTACGCTAGCTGGCTTTTAATACAGCTCACTTCAGATCGCACCCAAGGCTTCGTTATCCCTAATCCCGCCTTTAAACCCTCGGTTATTGATCCCTCATATACTTTGGGAGTGGTGTCGTTTAACAATTACCTAAATATGCACTCTCTCCCGAGTTATGCATACTAAATAGGCACAGCTAATTGAGAGCTCTTCAACCAACCACAATATTAACGTAGTTGAACAAATAGAGAAAAGCTATGACTCAATTATATAAAAACATAACAAGAATTTATCCTACAAAAGATTCTATCAAAACTCTAGATAACAAATTAGCTATTCATAATAGTATGTAAAACTACAATACTAAAAGGCATAACCAACAATGAAAAATAGGAAGAGGAAGGAAAAAACTCGTAGAAGAATTCTCCGTCTTGCTCCCAATGTGTTTTTGCCTCCTTAGGTCGAATCTATGTCCAATAAATGTCCCCTCTTCTTCGAAATAGGTTTAGGACCCCTTTTATACAAGTTGGAATAGTGTAGGGCCGAAATAAACTTGTCCCGGACGAAATAGGACTTCTTTTTGACGCCTGGAGCGGCGCAACCGCGGCCAAAACGCGGTAGGACCGCGGCCACACAAGTTCTCTGATTTTCTGCCGCGGTCAGTTCCGCGGTTGCAGTTTAGACAGCGTTTTTCACCCTGTTTGGTTTGGAATTTGGAAGTACATAAAACATGAAAGTTGTAGCCCTTTGAATTAGCGTTCTAACCATATATTGTGGAGCCCAAATAGAGTTCTGAGCAAAAGGTTATGTCTATTTTACTAGACAGTGCGCAATATGCCTCCTCAAGTCTTCGTTCGTACTTAATTATCAAATTTGACCCCCGAACACGATCCCGGCTTAATTCCTTGAGCTTTTACTCAGACTTCAAAGCTTCAAATCACTTAAATTCATTCCATAACATCTATATAGCTCGGAATCACACCTACAAGGCATAAAACACACAATTAGTGCAAAACACTAGCGATTAAAGCGCAAACTCAATTAAAGTGCAGTAAATTCCAGTGTAATAAGCGACTAAAATATGCAATTATAGCCTATCATCAGCAGCCTTAAAGTATCTATTAGCAAAGAAAGACGCTAGACCTAGATTGCTAAGATGGATACTCTTTTTGCAAGAATTTGATCTCGAAATAAAAGATAAAAAAGGTTCAGAAAATCAGGTAGCTAATCATTTGTTGCGTTTAGAGAATCCTCCTACTGAAATACTAGATATCCAAGAGGAATTTCCTGATGAGCATATCTTTTCAGTCGCAACGATTGTAAATAAACCTCCTTGGTTTGCTGATATTGCCAATTATTTAGCGGGAGGGTGGATTCCAAAAGATTTTTCTTATGATCAAAGAAAAGAGCTTAAAAAAGAGGCAAGACATTATTACTGGGAAGATCCTTATTTGTTTAAATTTTGTGCAGATGACATAATCATGAGACGTGTACCTGAAATAGAAATGAACAATAATTTAAGTCATTACCATGATAGAGCTGTAGGAGGTCACTACGGAGGAAGAAAGACAGCAGCTAAAGTACTTGAAGTTGGATTTTTTTGGCCTACTTTATTCAAAGATGCAAGAAATTATGTTGCCACTTGCGACAAATGCCAGAGAAGCGGTAACATTTCAAAAAGGTAGAGATGCCTCTTAACTGTATCCTTGTTTGTGAAATATGTGATGTTTGGGGCATTGATTTTACGGGTCCTTTTCCTCCTTCAAACGACTGTGAATATATTTTAGTTGTTGTTGACTATGTTTCAAAATGGGTAGAAGCAATTGCTACTAGAAAAAATGATGCTCATATTGTTTGTGCTTTTCTCAAGAAAAATATTTTTTCTAGATTTGGAACTCCACGAGTTATCATAAGTGATCAAGGAACTCATTTTATAAATAGACAATTTGCTAGTTTGTTGTCAAGATATGGAGTTACTCATAAAATAGGAACTCCATATAATGCTTAAACAAGTGGACAAGTAGAAGTATCAAAGAGAATTAAAAAGAATTTTAGAGAAAACGGTTGGCTCTTATCGAAAAGACTGGTCTTTAAAATTAGATGAGGCTTTGTGGGCTTACAAAACTGCTTTTAAAACTCCAAAAGGCACATCTCCTTATAGACTAATTTTTGGAAAATCTTGTCATTTACCTGTAGAGTTAGAACATAAAGAATATTGGGCTAAAAAATTGATGAATCTAAACTTGCCAGATGCAAGTAAATATCGTCTATTTCAGCTTGATTAGTTGGAAGAGTTCAGACTTACTGTAACGATCCAACCGGTCGTTTTGAGCTCTAGCACGCCGTTCAGCAGTCTGAGGCCATGAACAGCTTCATTTCAGGTATTATGACTTGTACGCGTGGTCGGAATTAAGTTTCTGGAAGTTCAGAGTTGATTTGGAAAGAGAATTCTCATTTCGGAAGCTTAAAGTTGAAAGAATTAACTAAGATTGGATTTTTGAGTAAACGACCTAGAAATCGAGATTTGAAGGTTCCAACAGTTTCGTATGATGATTTCGGACTTGGTCGTATGTCCGGATCGGGTTTTGGAAGAACCGGGAACGTTTTGGCACCTATTGTGGAAGTTAGCATTTTGGAGGAATTTCATAAGTTTGGGTTGAAGTGCATTTCAGGGTTATCAATGTTCGTTTGGGATTCTGAGTCTGGAAATAGCTCTGTGTGGTGATTCTGGAGTTGGGAGCGCGATCGAAAGTGAATTCGGAGGTCCGTAGGTCATTTTGAAGTCATTTGGCTAAAGATAGAAATTTGAAGGTTTTGAGAAGTTTGACCGAGAGTTTGACTTTTTGATATCGGGGTCGGATTCCAATTCCGAAAGTTGGAGCAGGTCCGTAATGTCGAATATGACTTGTGTGCAAAATTTGAGGTCAATCGGACGTGATTTGACGGATTTCGGCATCGAATGTAGAAGTTTGAAATTTCAAAGTTCATAAAGTTTGGATTGAAGTACGATTCATGATTTTGACGTTGTTTGATGTGATTTAAAGCCTCGGCTAAGCTCGTATTGTATTTTTGGACATGTTGGTATAATTAGTTGAAGCCCCGAGGGTCTCGGGTGGATTTCGGAAGGCTAACGGATCGATTTCGGAACTTTAAAGCTGCTGAAAATCTGCTGCAACTGTTGTTTTGGACAGCAATGGTGCAATCGAGGAGGCTACTTTGGAAACTTATATCTCAAAATATATAAAGAATCTGAAAATTTGTAAAACATAAAAGTTGTTGCCCTTGCATTCTAGTTTCCATAAAGTTAAACCATTCATAATATGGACATTTTATCAGAAAGTTAAGATTGATTGGAAATGGCTGGTGGAGCAGTTTCGACAGAATTTTCTGATGCATAGAGCCTACTTTAGAAGCTCATATCTCGGAATATATAAAGAGTTATATGGTGTACAACCTATCAAATGAAAGATATTTGAATCTAGTTTCAAACTCTTCAAATCGTTTGTCATTTGGATGTTTCCACAAGGAGTTATGGGCGTTTTAATAAAAGATGTACAGCAGGGGAAAATGGTAATAGGATGTACAACCTGCTCAGCGTAAGGTACAACTCGATGAAGCCTGGGCAGATTGTTTTAAACACGAGTTTTAGCCCATTTCTTTCAGTTCTTTCATCTGGCTTGGACTATTTTGGAGAGCTCAAGGAGGGATTTTCACCAAGCAACACTAGGTAAGTGATTTCTTCCTATTTTTGAGTTAAATATGTGATCTTACATGGATTTAGACATGGAAAATTAGTATAAATTTGGGATTTTTGGGGAAGACCTAGAA